CCAAAAATATCTGGCTCCTATCAGGTGAGCCACCTGCTACGTGACAGAAAGAACAGACAAAATAAAGGGACAGACTATTCCCAATGGGAACCATTGCTGTCCCTCTCATACACTTTGGTTCCCTAAACTTTTTGCTAAGACATCTTAAAAGAACCACGCAGTATGTCATTTTGCATAAACCTACCAAGAAGGAAACAACTCTTAGCTATGAAGCCCGAATCAGACAATTCCTCCACTATTTTCTATCACACTAGTGACCCCCCCCCATCAACCTCAACCAGCAGTCCCTTCTCTTTCTCTCCAGACTCTCTGGTTTCCCTTTCTCCCTCCTCGGCAACAGGCTGCCCACTCAGTCAGAGCTGAGTCTATAACATTAAAGCAGAGTACTCCACTATCACCTGTAAGGCCTTGCTCTATGAATACCAATTAGGTATCCAGTATATTACCTAATCGTATATGATTCTTGCCAACAGTCTCCTCTCAGAGGAGCACAGGGGAGTCTGGGAGCAAGCTAAGGCCCATGCAGATAAATTCCACCAAACTGACAACACCTACCCAGTTGGGGCTATGGCAGTCCATGACCAGGACCGTGAATGGTAGTATAATCGAATCCTACCTAGGAAGCGATTTTTAACTTGCCTCCTGGATGGTCTCAACAAGGCTGCCCTTAAAGTGGAAAATTATGAAAAAGTCCCAGCGGTCATCCAGGAAAAGTACAAAACCCCATCTCAATCCTAGACTGCCCCACAAAGGCCCTCTTACAATAACTCTTTGTGACTTACTTTTTTCCAAAAGTTACCCTGATATTAGAGCCAAACTTAATTGTCTACAAAAGGGCCCCCTGACTCCACGGTCAGAAGCCTTAACTGTGGCCTTCAAGGTGTACCATGGGAGAGATGGAAAGGCCCCAAAACAAAAATGCCTGATGATGGCTAAGGCCTCTCAGTGGCTAAAGCAAAAGCCCAGGCTCCCTGGTCTCCTAAAGCTAAGAACCTCTGTGTCTTTGTTTCAAATGTGGTTGGGAGGATCACTGGGCCCAGGCCTGTCAGAACCCTCATAAACCACCTAGACCGGGTCCAAGATGCCATCAAGAAGGGTGCTGGAGAGTTGATTGCCCCCATGTCCCTAGTGGCATGAGGAAATCAACCCCAGATCACCTTTCATCTGACCTCCTAGGTCTGGCCATGAATGATTGAGGGGGCCTAGTCTTCCTTGGCCTGACCACCACCATCTCTAACAGGGAGCCTGGGGTAGTGATCACAGTATCAGAGCAGTTCATCTCCTTCCTTCCGGACACCGGAGCCACTTTTTCAGTCCTGGTGAAGTTCTGGGGACCCACCATTCCTTGTTCCTCTATTGTCAGAATGGGGGGCAGACTTATCAGACTCACCAAACCCTGCCAAATATATAACCAAGGCTCAATACCCACTTTCACTCCAAAGTCTCAGGGGACTCAAACCTCTCTGCTCTGACTTCCTGAGAAAAAATCTTCTGTGCTCCATTTCTTCCCCCTTTAATATCCCCATACTTGCAGTTAAAACAATCAATGGAGCCTACCGCTTGGATCAGGATCTCCACCATCCCCTCAGAAACCTCTCATTTCTGTCAATGACCTCAAGGATGCCTTCTTTTCTATTCCTCTGAACCCCCAGTCACAGAATATCTTTGCCTTTACTTGGACTGACCAGTCAAAGAAACACACCCTAAGCAGAGCCAAAGAAACACACTTTTGCCCTGCAACCAGAACCAAAGAAATGTACCCTGACCCTGAAACCAGTGCCAAAGGAACACACTTTGTCCCTGGAAGCAGAGTCAGTGAAATAAATGCACCCTGGCCCTAAAATTGGAGCCAAAAGGTTAAAAAGGACCAGAGAAAGAAACACACTTTGGCTCTGAAACCAAAGCCAAATCTGACCCTAATCCTGTGCAGAAAACTAACTAATCCCTGAGCAGAGCTCTAGCCAATCTGAGCTCAGCAGTAAAATCTGACCAATCCCCACCCTGGTAGCCCTATATAGACCCTGTGTTTGTTCAGCTTGTGTCTGTTCGGGCTACCAGGCTGTCCTCTGCCATAGGGCAGCCACTCTCCTGGATCCTTCCCTCCCAATAAACCCCTTGGATGAGCTTTGGGTGAAGATCTTTTGCGGCTGCGACAGAGCAAGGGCGACCATGGGCAGAGCAGAGCAGAGCAAGCAGGGCTGTAACACTTTGGCTGGGGAAACCTTTCCTTGGCAGAGCTCAGCTCCCTGCTCTCTGCTCTCTGCTCTCTGCTCTCTGCAGAGCTGAACTGTAGCAACTTCGCCCGAGAAACCTCCTGATGAGCAAAACTGCTACACTGGGCGAACATCCCCAGCTGGAAGACCCTGTCCTGCCAGAGGGGAGCGGATACACTGGGGAAGCCTTTCCCCGAGGCTGGACTGTAAGCAGCTAAGCTTACTGCAACCTGTGGTGGTCCTTGGCTCCCGAGCTCCAGGATACCTGACCCATCCCCATCCCCATTCAGCCGGAAATGCCTACACTGACCCAGACACACATATTTCTACCCAACTCACTTGGACAGTCCTGTTTCCAAGGCGAATAACTGAACTGATGAGGCAGCTACAGCTGCGACTCTCAGGGGCCTGAGTCCCCATCACATGCCACAAGGCACTCTCATTTTATAACCCATGCCTCCATCTCCATCTCCAGATAATCAATAAATTTTATCCTGTCCCTAATAGTCAGGCTTTGTCCCATTTTATTGAAACCTATTTACAGTCTACCTCTGAGGTTCTATCCTATCTAAAGACTATCACTGTTTCTTGTAAAATTTGTCAAACTAGGCGGGCGTTGGTGGCACATGCCTTTAATCCCAGCACGCGGGAGGCAGAGGCAGGCGGATCTCTGGGAGTTCGAGGCCAGCCTGGTCTACAGAGTTACAGGACAGCCTCCAAAACAATATAGAGAGACCCTGTCTCGAAAAAAAACTTGTCAATCTTCTAAGCCTACCTCCAGGCATCGGAGTCTCCCTTTCCCCACTCACCAAGCCAGGGGATCCCTCCCTGGATCAGACTGGCAGCTCAGCTCGATTTCTCCCACAGCCTACAGTTTAACATTTCAGATACCTTTTTTCCTAGTGGATACCTTCTCAGGATGGGTAGAAACTTTTCTGCCCACTAATAAAAGATCACGAACAATTTCTGGTCTCCCTTTTAAGGAGATCATCCCCCGTTTTGGGGTTCCAATCTCCTTTTAATCAGATAATGACTGACTTTTCCTTTCAAATTCTAAAAACTTTGGCCAAAGCCCTTAACACCCCATATCCCCTATCATCCCCAGTCTTCAGGCAAAGCTGAACAAACTAATCATTTTCTCAAAAATATTCTTATCAAACTTTCCCAAGAGCTACATACAGATTGGATAAAACTCCTGCTTTTGACTCTCCTGTGACTAAGAGCCCTTCCAAAGAAGCCCCTCCTCATCCCCCTTTTTTGACAATACTGATCCCATCTCCTTGTCATACCATCTCTTGTTTCAAACCTTAATCTCTGCATATCGTTTACTGAATAATGCCTTGCCCAACCGCTTTAAAGAATGCTGGTTGTGTGCCCCTCCTGGGTCAAACTCACAACCATTTGTGGTCCCACCCATTGTCTTATCAGACTTTCCTACCTTGCCACTTGTAAACTGCTCTGAGCCAAATATTACTGCCATCCTTTATCTCTCCCACATCTCTCTCTTCAATATCACAAACTACTTTAACTCCTCAGAAACATACCTTTTGGACAATCTGGATTCTGCAGATTGTAACAATACCACAACGCTTAGTAGTACCACACAGTCCCTATTTCCAAACATTCACAGTGCTTTTCAATCCTCTGTGGCACACAAGTATACCACTGCCCACCTGCTAGGTGGCCAGGGACCAATGTCCTGGTGTTCCTTTTCCCTAAATTAGGGGTGGTACCCATTGAAGAGCCCTTGCCAGTTCTCATCACTGAATTTATAGCAGCACAACATGACGTGAGCAATCCAGGTCATACCACTTTTGGCAGCCCTGGGCATAACTGCAGGTATAACCTCTGGAGTAGCAGGACTGACTACTTCCCTAATGTACCATAGGCTTTCGTTGCAATTCATCCAGGATTTCCAACGGGTAGCTCAGACTATCCTCACGCTTCAGTCTATCTAGAATGTTGCTTCTATGTTAATCAATCAGGCACAGTAAAAGATAAGATTCGGCAACCTCAGACAGATCTTCAAAAACATAAAGAACAGCTTGATGCCTCTGGCCAGTGGGTCACTGATAGTCCAATACAGAACTAGATGCTACCTTTCTGAAGCCCTCTTCTCTCTTTTCTTAATCCTACTAGTGGCAGCCTGTCTTATAAACTTCTTGCCTAGATTCCAACAACAAGTTCAAAGGGTTTCTAAAAGACTTTCAACCACTTGCTATTGCCAGTCCCTAGCTAAGAAACCAGATGTCTGCAATACCTGGACACAACCAGACAAAGAAGATGAAGATTGTCCCATGAACCTCGACACCCCAACTCAGCAGGAAGTAGTCTAATGATAACACTGCCCCCTTTCCAAGCCCAGTTGTTTTATTAAACAAAAAAAAATGGGGAATGTAGGGAAAAGTGTCCATCCAAAGAAACACACCCTGAGAAGAGCCAAAGAAACACACTTTGGCCCTGCAACCAGAACCAAAGAAATGCATCCTGACCCTGAAACCAGTGCCAAAGAAACACACTTTGTCCCTGGAATCAGAGTCAGTGAAAGAAATACACCCTGGCCCTAAAACTAGAGCCAAAAGGCTAAAAAGGACCAGAGAAAGAAACACTGAAACCAGAGCCAAATCTGACCTTATCCTGTGCAGAAAACTAACCAATCCCTGAGCAGGAGATCTAGCCATTCTGAGCTCAGGGATTGAAATCTAACCAATCCCCACCCTGGAAAACTCCTGGAGAAACTCCACCCCCTAAGAAGCCGCATATAAACCCTGTGTCTGTGCACCTTGTGGCCCACAGAGGACAGCCACTCTCCTCGATTCTTCCCTCCCAATAAATCTCTTGAAAGAGGTTTGGGTGAAACCTTTCTTTCCCTGGAGCAGAGACGACCCTGGGTGGAACCGCTGGGGTAAGCCTTCCCCTGGCGAACTGAAGTTGTTACACTCTGGGGACCGGAGCTGAAGTGTAACAACTTCCCGGGGAAGCCCTCTCCTGCAGGAGCAGAGCGGATACCCTGAGGCAGGGCTGTGAGCTGCTGTGTAGTCCTTGGCTCCCAGTGCCAGAATCCCTTTCCATCCCAGCTTCCATCCCAGCGGTAACACCCAGTATTCTGTGACTCCGGAATGCCAGCGGTGGAAATGCTGACACTGGCGCATGGCCGCTGGGACCACAACGCGGGAGCGGCCCACCCACCGCACAGGCCCGGGTCGGGTAAGATGGCGGTTAGGCGGTTCCGAGTGCGCGCGCCCTGCGTCCCCCACCCCCACCCCACCCCCGCCGCGCGCCCACCTTACCATTGTGCCCTCAGCTGTGCTGCCGAGGTGGCGGCGGCTCGCGCTCCCGCTCGGTGGCACTCGGACGAGAAGAAGGAGGGGCCCGCGGGCGGGCAGCAGAGAGTGCGGGGCACGCCGGGAGCTGCAGCGGAGCCGGCTCCCGGTTTACTTCCTTCTAATCTGCTCCCCTGCCAGAAACTCAATTGGTTGCTGGGGTCTGGGCAGGGTTCTAGTCTAGAGACCAGTACCTTGATGCAAAGCAAAGGCATACCAGAGGACAGCAATGTGCAGAGAAAGACGTCTGCAGCCTACGTGAGTGAGGTAGTCGAGAGCATCCCGTATCCGGGGGACTTTGAGAGGAAGAGGATTTGGCTGTTAAGGGACACAGCGCACACAGAAGTTCGGTGTTTGGACTGACAGAATTACATTTGGCAAACCTTGCTAACTGTGCACGGCATTTCCCATAGTTACCTGATTTTAAACAATTGCAGGCCCAATTATTTAGAAGAAATACATATAGCCACAGAGAAAGAACAATTATTCTTGAACATTCATTTTGAATCCACAGTTTGCCTTACTGCACATGTACATCAAACTACTTCAATGCAGGGTCAGCTTATTTCCCCTATGTCCCGTATCATTTCCAAAAGGAATCTGGATGCAGTACGGAGTTACTAAGGCATTACTAAAGGAACTGCTTGTTGCTATTTGTTTTAATAATGTACCAATGACCGGGCTATGGCAGCTGGGGAGAAGAAACAGCAACCATGCATAAATCACGGGAGTTCTCTGACCTATTATTGTATTCACTAGGACTCTGTACCTACACAACAGCCTCCAACAACAACAGGGCGAGCTTGTTGCTATTTTTTTGTTGGGGGGGGTTCAAGACATGGTTTCTCTGTGTAGCCCTGGATGACCTGGAATTCACTATGTAGACCAGAGTCCCAATAAAATGCTTTCTTTTATAGTGACTGGCTTGGTCATGATGTCTCCCCACAGCAGTATGTTAGTAACTAAGACTGTGCATCTGCCTTTATGGCAATAAGAACTCAAGATAGCATCCTGTAGATGTTTTGGGGTTAACCATTGTATTCAGTAATTTCTGTCCTAGATGATTCTGTAGGTCGTCAGCCTGGCTGTTAAAACCAGCCATCCTAATAAATGCACTGTTTTAGGAGACAGTGACCTTTGAGGATGTGGCTGTGAACTTCACCCCAGGAGAGTAGACTTTGTTGGATTCCAGTCAAAAGAAGCTCTACAGAGATTTGATGAAGGAAACCTTTATGAACCTGCTCTCCATACATTAAAAATAAATAAATAAACCAGCATGCTTTCATTGTTTATTCAGTCAGAGAACAGCTGTATTCTGATTATGAGTGAAGTGTTTTGATTTGAATTCTTGAAGGAAACATGCTGAATTTAGCGTATGTATTCATGTCACAAGAGCTAGATTCTACTTCTTTTATTGTTGAATTTGTCATAATGAATTCTTTGGGTTTATTTCTAGAGAAAACACTAGAAGAAAATATTGAAGAGGACTACAAAGATCTCAGCCAAAATCTGGGGCAATTTTTATTCCATAAAGCAAATTACAAATGATTGGTGATAGCACATACATTTAATCCCAGCACGAAGGAGGCAAAGGCAAGCAGATCTCTGAGCAGGTGTCCAGCCTGGTCTACTGAGTGAGTTCCAGGATGGCCAGAGTTACACAGAGAAACCCTATCTACAAAAACAAACAAAACAATAAAAGCAATTTACACCAAGCATTTTGGCATGGTAGTACAGCCGAGATCCTACCAAATGATATGGTCCATGTTTTGGAACAAGATGAATGTATCCTTATTTACTGAATTCTGTGTAAATAGAGAAGCACTCTGCTCCAGATTCCTGCCAGGCTTGAGTTCCTGTCTGGCTTCCCTTTATGATGAAACTATGACTACTTCTGTGTTTCTAAGGCAAAACAAGACAAAACCCTAATGATTCAGTCATAGTTTGTCAACTTCTAAAATTTCCCTAAGTTTTTCTTCTTTAATGATTTGTTCCAGATCCTGTATCTCATGCTCATCAGTACCACTTAAGTAATAATTTCTACAACACTCGACTTTTTACACAGCTAATTCTCCCAGGTAGTCACCATAAGCTTTATTCTTAACATCAGCTTTCACAAGAATTGTTACATGGCCCCAGTACTAGCCTTTGGTGAGGAGCCCTCAACAGCAAGGAGTTCAAACATTAAACATGTCAAAGACTTAAGCAAGAATTGTGCCGCAACTTCCAGCAAGGGCATTGAAGGGTCAGTCCAAGTCACGCAAGCACTGTGATCTTTGTCAAGCAGCAGCTCCAGGATGCTTGGCATTGCCACGGTACTTCCTGGAAAAATCTCATAGATTCTCATAACCTCAGCCAGTTTGGGGTTGGACCACATGTCTGTGTACTGACCACCATCCCTGGAGTTTTCTCTTAGATGCTGCTGCTTTCTTCTTAATCCCAGGTCATTTTTCAACCCCAGCTGAAAAGAGAGCATAGACTCTGAAAATAAAATACCACAGGAACTGTAGAGTCTCCATCACCCATGACCATGCAAGCCAGACTTCCATCTTCTACACTGTTCTCAGCATCCCTATCCTCTGAGTTCCTGAAGCAGTTCATTAACCTCTGACCATTCAATGATTCTTTCAGCCCATATTCTATACATTCTCAGTCCTTGTAAAAACTACATGATCACCTCTGTCACAACATTACCTCATGAACCAGATTAGCAACTTTACTTTATGACGCTCTCTGTTCCTGTTATAAAAACCACGACCAAAGTTATCTTTAGGGAAATGAGGCATACTTTGGCTTATATTTCCATGTTACAATCAAGCAAGTGAAGGCAGGGGAGGGGACTTGAAACAGGAACTTGGAGGCTGGAACTGATCTAGAGACCATGGAGAAATACTGCTTACCTGCTTATTCCTCGTGGATTACTGAGGTACTTTCATATGCAACCTCTGTGCTCCTGCCCAGGAGCATACCACCTAACATAGACCTTAATAAAAATGAAAAATGCATCCACAGACTTGCTTACATGCCAATATCATCTAGCCATTGTCTCAATTGAGGGTCCTTGTTCTCAGATGACCCTAGTTTAGGTTGAATTGATAACAAACCAGCCAACACATGTAGAGTATTTCAAATGTCAAAATGTCATAGTGTTACACAACTATGTGATTATCACGGCTGTCTACTAACACAAGGACTTTTGCCTTCATACTTACTCCTTTTATGTCTCTTAGTTGTTTTATATGTGTGTTTATGTACATGACCTATGTGAAAACATTTGTGGAGGGCAGAAGAGAGCATCAGATCCTTCAGATCAAGAGTAGCAGGAACTAGTCAGCCCTCCACATGATTGCTGTCATCCAACTCGGGTCTGCTAGAAGAGTGAGAATTGTTCTTAACATCTAAACCTGTGATACAGCTCTTTCATAATTCTTAAAGAAGCAAAGTCAACACACTACTTTACATATGACAGATCTTCACATGTGGTCCATATTGTCCTTAACATGACAGACATTCTGCCGTTGTCTCGAGGCCAGTATAGTTGTTAGCGGACCACTTGAGCCAGCCTCAAACATTTCTTTTCTACAGTCACACGGTTCTCATTTTTTGCAGAACTCAGGTGGTTGAGAAAGACTGTGGATATCAATGCAATACTGAGTGTGATAAAAACCAGAAACCTACTCCACAGAATGTAGTTAATAAAGACACGTTGCCTACAAAAACAGTAGACGAAAGCAGATCGCATGTAAGAAACATCACTGGTCCTTCACACTCACAAGTGTATCTAAGAGAACAAAGTAGAGGCAATCAATTTCAGTGTAAGGCAGCTGTGGCGAAGTCTTTTAAACTTGAAACACTGGAAAGATATCAATCATTCTGAACCACTTCAGGTACTTGAAACTTCTCCTAGAGAGAAACCCTGTTAAAAAAAAAAACAGCAATGTATTGAAGCATGTAAGAGTCTTCCTTCTGATCAGCATTATGAAAGAACTCACACTGGAGATAAACTCAATAAGAATATCTTAAAGAGATATGCATATGGCCAGAAAGACCATGGAATCCATACAGAATTGAAACCATTTGTGTGGAAGCATTGTAAAGAAGCCTTTATTGATTTCAGTGACCTCATCAACCATGAAAAAAGTCATCTTGGAAAGAAAAGCTACATTTGCAAACAATTGCAGGAAAGCATTTAAGTATGGGAAGTGTTTTGAGAAACATAAAGTGACTCAGAGAGAAGTGAAGCCTTATGCATGTAAGCACTGTGGAAAAGCCTTCAACCTGCTGCAGTAATCGTAGCATTTATGAAAGCAATCACTCTGCAGAGAAGCCTTATGCATGTAAGCATTGTGGAAAAACCTTCACCAGTTCCAATTCTCATAACATTCATGAGAGAATTCACATTAGAAAGAAATGGTTTACATGTAAACATTGTGACAAAACCTTTACCACTTTGAGTTCTCATGACATGCATGAAAGAATTCACACTGGAGAGAAACCTTATGCATGTAAGTATTATGGAAAAATCTTTGCTATTTTGAGTTCTTGTCACACTCGTGAAAGAACACACACTGGAGAGAAACCTTACACATGTAAGCATTGCGGAAAAACCTTCACTCAATCCAGTTGTTGTAATATTCATGAAAGGAATCACACTGGAAAGAATCCTTATGCATGCAAGCATTGCAGAAAAATCTTCACCACTTCCAGTTGGTGTGACAGTTGTGAAAGGTATCACACCAGACAGTAGGCTAATGGATTAAGAATTGCAAGAAAAAAAAAAAAAGAATTGCAAGAAAGCCTTCACAAGTTCCACTTGCCACAGAGCCATAAAAGGATTCACACTGGAGAGAAACTATAAAACATGTGGGAAACTGTTCCTTTGCTCTTATCATTTTGTCAAGAATATAAGATTTCCTATTGGAAAGCAACCTTACCAATGTCAGTATTGTTAAAGAGCCTTCACTACCTCAGGCTCCTGTGACATTCAGAAAACAAGTCGCACTGGAGAGAAGCCTTATGCATGTAAGCACTGTGGAAAGGTCTTCCCCAGTTCCAGTTGCTGTGGTGTTCACAAAAGATGAAGAGATGCCACACATCTGCAACTATGTGGGAAAGCCTTAAGCAGTCATAGTTCCTATCACTAAAGAATTTCACAGTGGTGGAAAATTTTGTTTGGAATAAATGTGGGAAATAATTCAGTGTTTAGAAGCATCTTCGATGCAGCCAGAGTGGGCCTGCATTTCTGTGCTTCACATTCCTACACAAACCCACATGAGCTCCCAGTGAAAGGAGTGCATTGGGTCAACTCGCCTCCGTTGTGGTGTTGAAAGAAGAACATGGTTGGCCATGAGGTGCATCAGCTTGTAGTGGTTCTTCTTCAAGGCCTGTTTGTCTCGGTTACCTCCCTGGAAATAAAGACCCAGTTCCTGAAAGCTGATAATCACATTCACACTTCTCAATGAACACATACCCAGAGACACACAAATGAATAATTCAATAAATAAAATGTTCAAACTAACAAACACATATTTAATGTAGAAAGAAACATGAAAAAGCAAAAGTGCAATTCTTAGCCCACAATATATTACTCTATGTAGAATGAAAACCACTTGCAGGGTATGCAATAATGCCTGTCTCTTGCCCTCTATGGGTAGGACGGCATGAATGCAACTATAATAGTGGTCTAAGTGAGGATGGACCAATAGGCTCATAAGTTGAATACTTGCTTTCCAGTTGGGGGAACTGCTTGAGAATGACTAGGCAGCACGGCCTGTTGGGGAATATCTGTCACGCTAAGCAAGTTTTAAGGTGACACAAAAGACAGTGACACTCTCAGTGTCGTCTCTCTGCCTCCTTGCTCCCAGATGTTGCTGCCACCATGCTTTGCTCTGCCATCACAGTCTCTCCCACTCTGTAACTGCAAGTCAAATATAACTCTTTTTAAGATTGACTTAGTGTTTGTCATTCGTCACAGCTATAGAAAAGACAGCTTGCTTTGGACTTTAAGGAGCTCCAGATCCAGGCAAAAGAAATTTTCATTGCAAAACTGAAATGGCTGGATGTCATTTTAAATGATATAAAAATTGTGAAATGTTTTCAGGCACATGAATCTCATATTGAGAAATAAATGCTTTTTGGAAGTTAATCCAGAATATTTTGGAAATGAACAGTTTGAAAAAAAAGTACAGTCAATTCTGAGTATTTTTAATTGGCCCATCTTTCACAGGAGACTTACCTTGCATACGTTTTTATTAAGACAGCAAGATATAGT